ACTACCTGAGTAAACGACCTATAATACCTAACTACAATACCTACCTACAATCTAAATACATGGTTTAAGCTTTACTCAACACCATATAAGAAGCCAAGCTTACCTCCTGCTAGAGAAAACACAACCTCTCCCGACCACCGTCTATCGCACAAAAAAAGTGTGACCATGCTGTAGTGTGACCATGCTGTTGGAAGTGCTGTAATATAACATGCGTTGTCTGATGTTAGCATTAGGGCGTGGTGGATTATCCTCTTTATACTTACCTCTGAAATGGAGAAAGAAGACGAGTGCAATAAACCTCTTATTTATCATTTGCTTCCTCAAGTAAAAGAAACATGTCCTTTGTTTTCAAGGCCAAAAACAAAAGACTTTCTGTAGCTGGCAGTGGGATTGGAACCTCTCCTTGCTGCTTTGCGTCCAGAGAAGTGGCACTTGTTAGAGTCTAGAATGTGGAATTGCATTCTTAGGACTGTGATTTGATATTTAAGTATCAAAGCTGCTTGCTCATAAGGGAGACCATGCACAAGATGATTTGACTGATAGATTAACAGTGTATGTTTTTGTTCTAGCATTTGGATGGCATTTTATGGAGTGAATCTCCTTGAATCTGAAATGTTTTGCTTGCATGTGTAGGTGTGTGTGTATGTATGCATCATCCTCCGTATCAAATTATGTTTTTTTTGGCCATAAATTAAGTGGTTCAAAGGAATTATGAAATGCCTTATCTTGTTTTCAGAAGAAACATTAAGGGAGACCTCCCATTCAACCCCCCCCCCCCCCCCTCACTAAACAGGGGTGTGCATCTTTCACAATCTTACTACAGTTCAGGAAGTTGTCTCAACTTTTTAAAGCTGTTCTGATCTTCACTGTACATGTATATGTGTAATGTTGTTTGGGGGGGGGGGGGGGGGGGGGGGGGGGGTTTTAAAATGGTGACCCAATCATATTAAGAAAACGATGTAAGACTTCTGTAGGAATTATTAAACATTACAAGCAACAATATTTAAAAGATAAATGCTTTTATAGTGTTCTACGTGTGTTTTTGTTAGTTGAAGCAAGTAAGCAGACAATGGAAATGAAAAGGTAGCTAATAATAGTGTAGCAGTATCGTATGAACAGCTCAGTGCCTAGGGTAGGACGTGTATACCTGCTGTACACACCCCTTTGACATGTTGGAGGCCCTTTGACACACCCTTTTGACATGTACTATGTTGGAAGCCCATACGATATTGGTTGTAGAATAACGTTACCCTTGAAATGACCCTTTTTAACCAGTAGAGGAAGGAAATATTTGAAAACCATGTTTGCCATTACAGCAGTCATTTGCTGTAAAAGCAATTTAGACTTACTCTTAGAATAAGCACAGGGTCAATATCATATCCTGAGCCATACAATGGCAATTGTTAGCTCACTGGAGTGTAGACTGCTATTGGGAATTGCCTTCAGATGTGTGGTCACCGACGGTCACCATCTCCATAATGGTGACTCACCTAGAGCTCAATGATTAGGACATTATCAGTTGGAGGTACACTATGGCTTGTGTGCTCCCTGAGCAATACATGGGAAAGGATGTATTCATTGGGTATATCCTGTGACATTTGTTGGCACCTCTGCTGTTTAGTTCTTTCTTCTGCAGCACCCTAACTGAATGTGAACTGATAAAGACAGATTAGGGGTTAGTTGCCTGTTTTACTCAGTGGCTTATCTGTTGTAAATACCTTTTGAGTGGACCCCATACCAGGAGAGGGGGAGGAGTCAGAATTAGGGCACATGATTAGTTACAATCAAATGGTTTCTCAATGCACCTTTTTAAAATTAGATTTGTTTTTTGCAAGCTTTGCTGTTGGGTAACACATTCTAAACTGCTTTGCTGGTGAATGGTAGTATCTTTGACACCTGACAGGCCTACATGTTGCTGTATGTTTTCCAGCGGAAGGAACGATTTCCTATTTAACTCTTGATTACCTCATTTACAAATCTTCAAATACTATTCTACTGTGAGTAGAAAATGCCATCACCAGCATGTGCTCTAGACCTGTGATGACAATGACACTAGGACCAATGACGTAGCTCCATTTCAAAATTAATGAATTCAAACATGGACAGTCAAGGAATATAAACACGCCTCTCACTTACTACAAATTCTATAAGGTTGGTACATATAATGGTATTATCCATGTAAATAAACTTGTTTGCATTTCTTGCGGTTTTCAGTAGTAGCATTTTTCCTACCTCCTATAAATTGTAGCGTTGAGTTAATCTCCACCTGTTTTGACATACAAATACACAGTAGCCTATGAGAACTTTAGAATTTTACCATGAACAATTATAATTCAACATGAAGTGTGCTTGATTGTATGTATAATTGTGTGTTCAACATGAAAGTATTTATGAAAAACATGTATACAACAAAATACCACTGGGATGTGAAGCCAGACTGTGGTATGATGCTGTTAACGATTGTCTTCTACCCACTCTAAGATGGTGTAGACATTCATTTTGACTGATGTGCTCCTTGCATAGCAAAACCCCTTATTTTGGGGATGAATTACATAAATGAGTACATTTTGGCTTTTTTATTTTTTTTGTGGACAATATGTAAATGGTAATTTGTTACAAAATGTTATGTTAAAGATCAATCAATCAATCAATTTTATTTTATATAGCCCTTCTTACATCAGCTAATATCTCGAAGTGCTGTACAGAAACCCAGCCTAAAACCCCAAACAGCTAGTAATGCAGGTGTAGAAGCACGGTGGCTAGGAAAAACTCCCTAGAAAGGCGAAAACCTAGGAAGAAACCTAGAGAGGAACCAGGCTATGAGGGGTGGCCAGTCCTCTTCTGGCTGTGCCGGGTGGAGATTATAACAGAACCATGCCAAGATGTTCAAAAATGTTCATAAGTGACAAGCATGGTCAAATAATAATCAGGAATAAATCTCAGTTGGCTTTTCATAGCCGATCATTAAGAGTTGAAAACAGCAGGTCTGGGACAGGTAGGGGTTCCATAACCGCAGGCAGAACAGTTTAAACTGGAATAGCAGCAAGGCCAGGCGGACTGGGGACAGCAAGGAGTCACCACGGCCGGTAGTCCCGACGTATGGTCCTAGGGCTCAGGTCTCTCAGTTGGCTTTTCATAGCCGATCATTAAGAGTTGAAAACAGCAGGTCTGGGACAGGTAGGGGTTTCGTAGCCGCAGGCAGAACAGTTGAAACTGGAATAGCAGCAAGGCCAGGCGGACTGGGGACAGCAAGGTGTCATCATGCCCGGTAGTCCTGACGTATGGTCCTAGGGCTCAGGTTCTCAGAGAGAAAGAGAGAACGAGAGAATTAGAGAGAGCATACTTAAATTCACACAGGACACTGGATAAGACAGGAGAAGTACTCCAGGTATAACCAACTAACCCCAGCCCCCCGACACATAAACTACTGCAGCATAAATACTGGAGGCTGAGACAGGAGCGGTCCGGAGACACTGTGGCCCCATCCGAAGAAACCCCCGGACAGGGCCAAACAGGAAGGATATAACCCCACCCACTCCGCCAAAGCACAGCCCCCGCACCACTAGAGGGATATCCCCAACCACCAACTTACAATCCTGAGACAAGGCCGAGTATAGCCCACAGAGGTCTCCACCACAGCACAAACCAAGGGGGGGGCGCCAACCCAGACAGGAAGATCACGTCAGTAACTCAACCCACTCAAGTGACGCACCCCTCCCAGGGACGGCATGAAAGAGCACCAGCAAGCCAGTGACTCAGCCCCTGCAACAGGGTTAGAGGCAGAGAACCCCAGTGGAGAGGGGAACCGGCCTGGCAGAGACAGCAAGGGCTGTTCGTTGCTCCAGCCTTTCCGTTCACCTTCACACTCCTGGGCCAGACTACACTCAATCATATGACCTACTGAAGAGATAAGTCTTCAGTAAAGACTTAAAGGTTGAGACCGAGTCTGCGTCTCTCACATGGGTAGGCAGACTGTTCCATAAAAATGGAGATCTATAGGAGAAAGCCCTGCCTCCCGCTGTTTGCTTAGAAATTCTAGGGACAATTAGGAGGCCTGCGTCTTGTGACCGTAGCGTACGTATTGGTATGTACGGCAGGACCAACTCGGAAAGATAGGAAAGATCATTCACAATTTTGGAAGAATCTGCATCTGTCTTTCTGACACTAAAATAATTTTAAAGGATTTAAACATTTAACCTAAATCTCTTTCATACAATGTTTGCTGCAGCCAGTTGGTCTTGTCATTCAGTATTGTGGCTTAGGGTTGGTTGTATGTTGAAATAAAGTGCTATTGCTAAATATTCGATGCAACGTGTTTATGATTTGATTCCTAGATGTATAACCAGTGAGAAGTGCTCTGGAGTCATGGTCAGATATAAAAAAGGCCACATTTATTGGTGAATTGCTGACATGGTTATACAGTATTCAAGATTTAAAAAACAAGACATTTCATTGGATATTGAAACTTCATATGCTTTACATTCTTCTATTCCTGCCTGTGTGGTTCAACCACTGCAAATCATTCTGAAATAATAGGATTGACTCCCATTGATTTATTACAGAAATGGAAATCAATGTTCATATAGAAACAGTAAAAAACAAGTAGCATAGTACATTAAAAAAATGTAAGGTTCAGCAGAGTATCATCTCATCTAGTCCTGCAAGGCTGACTTCCACGTGTGGTTTACATTAACCATCATCCTGTGTGGCTCAGTTAGTAGAGCATGGTGCTTTCAACGCCAGGATTGTGGGTTCAATTCCCACGGGGGACAAACAAGAAATGTAAGTCACTCTGGCTAAGAGCATTTGCTAAATGTAAAATATCATGCCTCAGAGGATGTTTACACCGACCAATTCTGATCTTTTTCCACATCAGATCTGTTATTTTCCCAATAATTGGGCAAAAGATCAGAATTGTGCTGTTGGCGTAAACACGTCCAGAGTGCTCTGAAAGCGAAGCTGGTACTTATTGAGGTCATCTTAAATCATGTTTTTCAGCCTTTAGTAGTAAAGTAATGTAAATTACCTCCTGGACCGAAGTCTACTCTGATAAGAAGTCATTTGGTATTGGCCATTTGCACTTCAGTTGAAAGAGTATCCAATCCAGTGGTTTACAATCACCATCAGAACCTCAGGTGATTTAGAATCTGATCCACTCATATCCTTCCCATTGAATCAGACGTCACCCAGGTTAATAATAATATGCCATTTAGCAGACGCTTTTATCCAAAGCGACTTACAGTCATGCGTGCATAATTTTTTTTGTGTATGGGTGGTCCCGGGGATCGAACCCACTACCTTGGCGTTACAAGCGCCGTGCTCTACCAGCTGAGCTACAGAGGACTACAAGGCGATATGGTCCTCAAACAGAGCGATACACAGCATGATCGCACCCCCTGCCAACAAGCCTAGGTTCTGTAGCAGGAAGCGAGTCCAGGGTCCCATCGGGCCAGGATCACCATGAAGCATCTCGGGCAACTATTGAGCAAGAGGAGAAAATATGACAAATGCAGCATTATTAAACTGAACAAATTAATAGACTTGTCTGTAAAATGCCTTTTCACACTACTATGCTGTGCTGGCCTGGTTACGCAACCACTATAGTTGCTGGAACCATGCTGGAAAGGACGATGTGAAAAGGAAATATCCAAGCCAGCACAGTGCGGTTCAGGTTGGCCCGATAATGTGAAAAGGGTACAAGTGTGGAACTCCTTCCATTGTAGACTAGTGACTCACCATGTCAGCGAGGGCCACATAGAGGAAGACCCCAGCGGTGAGGGTGAGGATCCAGGGGGAGATGTGGGCTGACTGGTGGACCAGGACAGAGCCAGTTAGCAAGCCCATGAAGCCCAGTAGGGCTGACACAGCACTGAAGAGAACCAGTCTGCGAACAGGCCACCCTGCTCCCAGCAGCACTGCCAGGTCACCTGCACAGATAGACAACACAATGCATCCATTTGATAGTCTCATACTCATTACAGAGCAGAAGTCTACCTGAAACGTTCTAGTACCAGGCTTAAACTTTTGAAGGACATGTCGATGTGCAATGCTTTTATGTGTTGCACCCATCTGTTTTTACATGCACATCACAGAAAGGTGAGATGTTCGTGTATACCTACCTAGCTCATGAGGAAGCTCATGGCAGAACACAGCTACAGTGGTGCTGAGACCTCCAGCCAGACTCTGAGAGAATGCTGCACCAATGGCCAGTCCGTCAGTAAGTTTGTGGACCCCATCTCCCATAACCACCATCCACACCAAGCTTCCTATTCCAACCTGCTCCTGGCCAGGCGGGCCGTGTGAATGACCATGACTGTGCTGCTCAGAGGGATGTGTCTGCTCAGGAATGGTGGGGCCTGAAGAACAGGGGAGAGATGAGAAAGATGTTTTACAATGCAACGGTTCAACTTTGCCAATACAGACATAAATGCGCTTATAAAGTTACATAAGTATTACATTCCACCAACTCACTCTGCAGAGCAGTAAGCTCCCTCTCTGGGTCAGGATTTAGACTGATGTTCTGCTGCATCCTCTTCCTCTTAGCCTTCTGATGACAAAAACAATTTAAACAGTCCATGTGAGTGAAACATTTACATCAGGAATACAAGACTAAACTATAACCTCTTTTCCATCAGATAATATGACTTAGGGAGAATCTCAATTGCATACACCTCGCGTCCTCAACCTCTTCAAAACCCATTGGAGAAGGTCAGAGGGGCGGGACCTCTGGCTTTCTCATCCAATGGGTTTTGAGAAGGAGGTGAGGAGAGAGGAGGACCGAAGAAGTATGCAATTGAGAATCTCCCAATGACTGCTATGCACAGTGTATCATAAAACAGTGACAACTTCAGACTCTCCCATTTATTCTCTAAATCCAGCTAACCTTATAATGGGTCCTCAGTCCTAGAAGGCTCTCAAAGATGAAGAGGAGGTAGCACCCTCCCAGCACACAAAGGCCCTTCAGTATGGAGTCCTGTTCTTCAGAGTGGCTTGAGAGTGGCCCAGTCTTGGCCTGCAGGACACAGATACAACGTGTTTAATTTTAGACTTACATTTACTACTAGATTTTACAACTTAACCCTCCATGACTAAACAGAGACAGTAGCACTGGTATGCATGTAGTGTTTGACAGTTTGGAAGGGTGTTTACGTGAGGCAGGAGATGCAGCATGGCATCGCCACACAGCGTCCCCACAGCCAAGGCTGTCATTGGGCAGAGGAAGGAGCGTAGGCGGGCAGGGGGCAGAAGGGGAACCAGGCTCAAAGACAGCAGAGACGGCAGGCTGATCACAGCCAGAGCTAAGGAGCTCCATCCCAAAGCTGCGAAAAAAAACAAAATATTATATTAATTTTGATGATGTATTCATTCTGCTTAAACAATAGGGTATTGTAGTTTCCAGGGTTCTGTTAAGTCTTAGTGTATCCTAACTGTTAAGTTACGCACCTGTGCTCCAAGTTGTAAAGAGCTACATTGCCTTTTGAAACATCCTATATCGATAAATCATTCCCTCTCATTGCTGGTATGTACAGTGGGGGAAAAAAGTATTTAGTCAGCCACCAATTGTGAAAATTCTCCCACTTAAAAAGATGAGAGAGGCCTGTAATTTTCGTCATAGGTACACGTAAACTATGACAGACAAATTGAGAATTTTTTTTCCAGAAAATCACATTGTAGGATTTTTAATGAATTTATTTGCAAATTATGGTGGAAAATAAGTATTTGGTCACCTACAAACAAGCAAGATTTCTGGCTCTCACAGACCTGTAACTTCTTCTTTAAGAGGCTCCTCTGTCCTCCACTCGTTACCTGTATTAATGGCACCTGTTTGAACTTGTTATCAGTATAAAAGACACCTGTCCACAACCTCAAACAGTCACACTCCAAACTCCACTATGGCCAAGACCAAAGAGCTGTCAAAGGACACCAGAAACAAAATTGTAGACCTGCACCAGGCTGGGAAGACTGAATCTGCAATAGGTAAGCAGCTTGGTTTGAAGAAATCAACTGTGGGAGCAATTATAAGGAAATGGAAGACATACAAGACCACTGATAATCTCCCTCGATCTGGGGCTCCACGCAAGATCTCACCCGTGGGGTCAAAATGATCACAAGAACGGTGAGCAAAAATCCCAGAACCACACGGGGGGACCTAGTGAATGACCTACAGAGAGCTGGGACCAAAGTAACAAAGCCTACCATCAGTAACACACTACGCCATCAGGGACTCAAATCCTGCAGTGCCAGACATGTCCCCCTGCTTAAGCCAGTACATGTCCAGGCCCGTCTGAAGTTTGCTAGAGTGCATTTGGATGATCCAGAAGAGGATTGGGAGAATGTCATATGGTCAGATGAAACCAAAATAGAACTTTTTGGTAAAAACTCAACTCGTCGTGTTTGGAGGACAAAGAATGCTGAGTTGCATCCAAAGAACACCATACCTAGTGTGAAGCATGGGGGTGGAAACATCATGCTTTGGGGATGTTTTTCTGCAAAGGGACCAGGACGACTGATCCGTGTAAAGGAAAGAATGAATGGGGCCATGTATCGTGAGATTTTGAGTGAAAACCTCCTTCCATCAGCAAGGGCATTGAAGATGAAACGTGGCTGGGTCTTTCAGCATGACAATGATCCCAAACACACCGCCCGGGCAACGAAGAAGCATTTCAAGGTCCTGGAGTGGCCTAGCCAGTCTCCAGATCTCAACCCCATAGAACATCTTTGGAGGGAGTTGAAAGTCCGTGTTGCCCAGCGACAGCCCCAAAACATCACTGCTCTAGAGGAGATCTGCATGGAGGAATGGGCCAAAATACCAGCAACAGTGTGTGAAAACCTTGTGAAGACTTACAGAAAACGTTTGACCTGTGTGTCATTGCCAACAAAGGGTAAATAACAAAGTATTGAGAAACTTTTGTTATTGACCAAATACTTATTTTCCACCATAATTTGCAAATAAATTCATTAAAAATCCTACAATGTGATTTTCTGGATTTTTTTCCTCAATTTGTCTGTCATAGTTGACGTGTACCTATGATGAAAATTACAGGCCTCTCTCATTTTTTTAAGTGGGAGAACATGCACAATTGGTGGCTGACTAAATACTTTTTTCCCCCACTGTAGTTTCATAAATGCACCTTTGAGGAAAGTCACACTCCTTTCTGACTCTGCCCCATCAGTCTCTGGGTGGCGTAGACACACGCCACTCTCAATCTGGTACAGCAGAGCTGGACACAAGAGGGTGAAGTGGGCAGGAGTGATGTGGGATGCCTTTCCCAGACCGAAATTCCACAAGAGCTGAGTAACGTTCAGACACTGAAAAGGAAAGGGTTAAAAGTATTCAATGTCCACAGAAACTGTTTATATAAGGGGAATGTTTTAATAGTGGATTTTCTCATTAACTCCCTTTAAATAACAATGTCAAATAAAAACCTGAGAGGATAACATTTTGCCAAGAACAGTAAGCAGAATTGAATTGTAAACTTTGTGCGTTTGGCACAAAACATTAACCAGATCAATTGTCTTTTATTAACTACTCACGTTCCCATGAAGATGCCTCTGAGTGGGGTAATTTGACACAAGGGAGTCAAACATTCCTTGGACAGGAATAGTGTGTGCAATAGGGGATGACCACGGAAGGACCTCTTCCTTAGTCATGTGATCAGAGGATAATGTGTTGCCCTCTTTAGACCTAGATCCAGCAGACCCCGATATCCCAGGGTGTGGGGTTCTTTCAGAGGGGGTTAAGAAGAGGCAGCACAGTTTATTCAGGTGACATTGCGTAACTAACTATTCATAACCTGATGATGAAACTTCAGTACTTCAAAAGCGGCTGTATATCTAACAATCATGGGACCAAATCAGTTGTAATATCTGTCTCTGACCTGGCTGCGTTTGCAGAGGGGGATGGTTGAATAGGCCTCCTTGGACTGGGGGTGTCTGTTTCCTGATCGTCATGATCATGAGATTGTGTATTTGGAGGGGGAGGTGGTGTCAGAGTGTTAACGTTGTGCCTCGACCCTCGGTGGCTGATCTCCAACACACTGACCTGCCCTAGTCCCAGGCTACCCAATAACTTCTGCAGGCCCTTATAGGACAGGGTCCCGTTGTCTCCATAATGATGGAACAGACGCTGCAAGTAGAAGACCTGGAAAAAAAGACAGGTATTGACAAGAGTAAATGGACAGCTGAAATGATTGGCAAGTGCGATAATCATCAGTGGTAATAATACTGAAATTATTAAACTATTAGAATAGCTAGGCTACTTTATATTTTTACCAATGCACAAAATAGATTTAGTGTTGTTGAACTTATCAACGCTAAATTACATAATCTTCATAATATTGCTGTAAAGTGAATTGTTGTAACACTGATATATTGAGGCCAAATTCAGATATTTCAGAGGCCTGGAGACAATACAAACTGGCATAGGCTGTCTTCCACAATGTTCTCACCTGCTCTTCAAAAGCCTCATCTAAATGTTCAGATGTCGATCCCTCTTGTCGGCTTCCATTTGATATCCTGTCTGTCATATTCCATGGTGTTCTCACTGTGCCACTGAGAGACAGTGGCGCCCCTGCCCCAAACTCCAGCAGAGGCAGACAGACAAATATTCCTAGCGCGAGCGTCAGTAGCGGTGACATCCTATAAATTAACTGCAAAAAGGAATATGAAGAGGCAAGTTTATTAAAGTCACTGTTAGAAATTGCATAATTCAAATCTGGTATTGGAATAAGAATCAAGAGATCTTTAATCCAAGCTAAATTTATTATATGCAAAATGTACGGATGATAAGTATGTTGGTTCGTATACGGGCTCACTGAAAAACCTCGCAGGGCAGACAGAGAACTAAATCCATTGTTTACATGTTCTTCCTCAAATACTCTGACAGAGAGTTTCCCACCTCTCTGCTGGCCAATCAGAGTAGAGACTTGAGCGTGGTTTAGACTTACTCAGCCTATCCGTTGATGCACCCCTGTTGCCAGGCATAAGTCCATATCATAACAACCTGTCATAGTGAGAAGAGCCAGCTCCCTTAGACACCATTCCTACGTCCAAGGAAGGTTCACAGATCACAAAGAACCAGTATATTCTAGTATTTGGAGACACAAATCCTTATCTCATTTTACCCCTTAAAACAGCTCTTCACATCAATCACAGCCTGCCAGGTGACACAACCTACATTAGCCCAGTCAAGAATGCATTCTTTCTAAGTTAGTCATCCCATCAATTATAAGAATAATAAATCTCTCACAATCCCTCTTATCACACCCACTGGGTGTGATTCAAAAAATAAGAAAACACAGGGTGTCAGTCATTAAAATACAATACAAACAAAAAATCACACTTTTATTAATAGGCCATAATGATACTAAAAAATTAAAAACCCTCAGTCCATCTACACCCAACTTGCAAATTGTTACCAGTCATCAAAGAACTTCAAACCATAAAACACAGGATTAATAGAACACAAAACATAAGATTATTAAAACATAAAACACAAACAGAGAAGTATATTTTGGCCCCCTTTAGACACCCTCTAGTGTCACTCCACCAAGCCTGGTAGGTCATATCCTTAATTCCTTGGTTGGATCTCACCATCTGTTGGGAAACCACCTTCCCCATCTACTTTCTCACCAAACCTCAGACACAGGAAATAAGACAACATCCACAAAGAACAAGTATACCCATAGAAGCTATAACTTCACCCAGAATAGTTACAACAATAGTTTTCCATTTACCAAATATGTTATAAAACCAACCGTTTATGGAGCTATCAATACCAGAGTTCTCAGCCAGTTCGTTCGTCAGCGTGGTTACTCCCCTGAAGCTCTTTTGTCACGGACCCATCCGGTGCTATGTTGTTTGAGGATGAAAGTACAGCACATATATCCAAACAGAACACAAACTCCGCCCCGCTCAGCCAAAAGCATATCTAAAGCTATTCTATTCTGCCATGTCATTAAGCTAGTTGCCGCTGTCTGCTCAGCTAATCCCTTTATTGCATCACGAGTGTGGTTTATAAATCTTTGCTGGTTATAGTAAATATAATTCATCCAATCTACGTTTTTATTAATTGTTGACCACCAAAAAAGACTTGATTCAAACTCAGCTGCGATCTGATTCCTAGCTTGAATTGTTCTGGAACCCCTTGAAGTACTCCTATCCCATCAAAGGATCCTTTCATCAAAGGATCCCGGGAGGAGGTCCTACTTTCTACGTGACAACTCACCAGTCTCTGAGACGTTTGATTGTTTACATATGTACAGTGAGGGAAAAAAGTGTTTGATCCCCTGCTGATTTTGTACGTTTTCCCACTGACAAAGACATGATCAGTCTATAATTTTAATGGTAGGTTTATTTGAACAGTGAGAGACAGAATAACAACAACAAAAATCCAGAAAAACACATGTTATAAATTGATTTGCATTTTAATGAGGGAAATAAGTATTTGACCCCCTCTGCAAAACATGACTTAGTACTTGGTGGCAAAATCCTTGCTGGCAATCACAGAGGTCAGATGTTTCCTGTAGTTGGCCACCAGGTTTGCACACATCTCAGCAGGGATTTGTTCCACTCCTCTTTGCAGATCTTTCCAAGTCATTAAGGTTTCGAGGCTGACGTTTGGCAACTCGAACCTTCAGCTCCCTCCACAGATTTTCTATGGGATTAAGGTCTGGAGACTGGCTAGGCCACTCCAGGACCTTAATGTGCTTCTTCTTGAGCCACTCCTTTGTTGCCTTGGCCGTGTGTTTTGGGTCATTGTCATGCTGGAATACCCATCCATGACCCATTTTCAATGCCCTGGCTGAGGGAAGGAGGTTCTCACCCAAGATTTGATGGTACATGGCCCCATCCATCGTCCCTTTGATGCGATGAAGTTGTCCTGTCCCCTTAGCAGAAAAACACCCCCAAAGCATAATGTTTCCACCTCCATGTTTGACGGTGGGGATGGTGTTCTTAGGCATAGGCAGCATTCCTCCTCCTCCAAACACAGCGAGTTGAGTTGATGCCAAAGTGCTCGATTTTGGTCTCATCTGACCACAGCACTTTCACCCAGTTCTCCTCTGAATCATTCAGATGTTCATTGGCAAACTTCAGACGGCCCTTTATATGTGCTTTCTTGAGCAGGGGGACTTTGCGGGCGCTGCAGGATTTCAGTCCTTCACTGCGTAGTGTGTTACCAATTGTTTTCTTGGTGACTATGGTCCCAGCTGCCTTGAGATCATTGACAAGATCCTCCCGTGTAGTTCTGGGCTGATTCCTCACCGTTCTCATGATCATTGCAACTCCACGAGGTGAGATCTTGCATGGAGCCCCAGGCCGAGGGAGATTGACAGTTATTTTGTGTTTCTTCCATTTGCGAATAATCGCACCAGCTGTTGTCACCTTCTCACCAAGCTGCTTGGCGATGGTCTTGTAGCCCATTCCAGCCTTGTGTAGGTCTACAATCTTGTCCCTGACATCCTTGGAGAGCTCTTTGGTCTTGGCCATGGTGGAGAGTTTGGAATCTGATTGATTGATTGCTTCTGTGGACTGGTGTCTTTTATACAGATAACAAGCTGAGATTAGGAGCACTCCCTTTAAGAGTGTGCTCCTAATCTCAGCTTGTTACCTGTATAAAAGACACCTGGGAGCCAGAAATCCTTCTGATTGAGAGGGGGTCTAATACTTATTTCCCTCAATAAAATGCAAATCAATTTATAACATTTTTGACATGCGTTTTTTCTGGATTTTGTTGTTGTTATTCTGTCTCTCACTGTTCAAATAAACCTACCATTAAAACTATAGACTGATCATTTCTTTGTCTGTGGACAAACGTACAAAATAAGCAGGGGATCAAATACTTTTTTACCTCACTGTAGGTGAATTCACAATCAGTTATCACCACACAACCATCAGATGTCAGCATGGGCCTGGTTTTGGTTCCTATAAATCCTCTGGCTGTAACAAAGAGGAGAGATTAGTCATGGTCTCTTTTAGTTGTGATATTCTCTGTGTGGGAGCAGGAGCTAAGATGCCCTACTCTGTATCCTATCTTACTAGTCCTAGAAAAACAATTATAATCCCCTGAGACTTCAAACGTAGGCAACCTAGGTCGGAATTACTTTGTTATCGGGGGATACAGATAGTTCAAGTTACTACAAGACTCTTGTAGTGTATTAAGATTATGACTTTGATAAGGTTTTAAGTGGAACCTGAGAGGATGTTTATTTAGAAGAAAGGGAGCCGTTTTTAGGGTGACGCCCCATAGAAGACAGGAGATTGGACAGTAGAGGGAGCCACCCATATTTTGGGGAATATTATAAGTACTGGATGGAGACAAAGAAGAGCAGAGCGGCCATTGCAATTTGGGAAACACTGCTCTCCGGATGCTATATACATCTGTACACTTATGCTGAAATCTTGTGATATGAATAAAACGTATGATCAAAGCTCAGTATAAGCGGACTCCTTTGTTTAACAGCATCATTAGCAACATTGACTCGACACTACAATTTGGCGACGAGGAATGAGGCGGATCTGCGTCTCTGCAGTATTATATTCATGAGCAACGACGTGACTCTCGCTCAAGACGCCGGCATAAGGTGAGATTTCTCACGGTCTTGTGTGTGTGTTTCATTCGTTAGCTTCTGGGTATGTGCGCTGGAGAGATGTACCGTAGTGGACCGGTGTGTGCTTGTGTTGCTTTTATTGCTGCGAACTAGGGGTCTGGCCTAACCATTCTAAATTTGTTTGCACTGGTAGACAGCGCAAAAGGGGGGAGTGTCTATAGGGTGTCTATAGAGATATTTTGCTTGAATAAGAGTTCAAGAACAATCGATTGAGAGGAATAAGGAAAGCCTAGGCAGGTGTATGTAACTTAGAGCCGCTGTGGATCAACGGAAGCCCTGATACAGATACAGGCGACCTCTATGGTGGGCCGAAAATCCTGATAACGCGTTAGATGTGTTTTAGGTGAGTCCTGGGGACTGGAGGCCGTGGTATATTGAAAATGTATGTTGCCCCTCAGCTGACAGTTGACAAATTATTTGATTGATGTAATCTCTCGTTTCATTTCCACAGTCTCGTGGTAGCACAAATTTAGCTAACAAAAGAAAGTTTACGGCACGGCGGAGGGAGAAATGCTAACGTGGCCTGCTAATTATGCTTCATGCTAATGCTAATGCTAAATGCTAATTCATGCTACATGCCAATTTTTTATGCGGGGTTATGTTTAATATTTGTTCCTTGGTGGTCCATTGGAATGGGACGAGCCACCAAAATGTGTGTTTAGTTAGCTTGGGCTTGGTGCCTGGTGTTTTGTGAGCTCTGTTAAGTGTTATTGTTTGTCTATAAGGGTAAAGGAGAGGAGCTATAGCAGAATGCTAACGTTCTGTTGTCTGTAGTGGAGAGAGCTGCTTCCACTGTGAAATCGTAGTGATGAATGTACTGCGCATGCGTGTGATTTTACGACACTAGAGTGATGTAGGGGTAAATAGGTCACTCCTCTGCTACACTGCGCAAGGGGGGAGGCGTAGATGAACGAAGGAACAAAAGACAGAGACATTTAGAGTCTAATGGTGTATTCTGGTTGTTGCATCGGCTGTTGTTTGAAGATGAAATTGTTTTCTTGAGACCTATTGAATTGATAAATGAGAGAGAGATGTTGACGGAT